GAACAATTATTGTCATGAATTTGCAGAAAAATTCTGCACTAATTAAAACGGTAGAAATCAGATACGTAGATTACTCGAACAGGTGTACCCACTTATAAATGCATTAACGTAACTAGAATATAGGTTACAAAGCCTTTGAACTTGGTCTTGTTAATTTAGTGTAATAAATTTTTATTAAACTAAGAATATATAATAATTTTTAATATTAATTTCAATTATGAAGTAATATTTTATGATGAAATTTATTTTTTTTTTCCAGGTGCACCTGTATTCCAATACCCCACACCACCAAGTCCTTCATATTCAGTGCATAGTCCAAGTTATAATGGTGGAGAAATATTTTTTCCACGTGGTCGCAGCACACCACGTACGCCACGTACTAGTGTGAGTTTTGCTGCTGGCGATGAAGTGAATTTCTTTCGCCATCCACCAGCTACACCAGGCGGTCCACCACAATCAGCACCACCAATGCCCAGTCATCAGGCACCACAATTTCATCACTCAGCGTATACACATTATCAGTACACACCGCCACCAACACCAACCACTTCAATGGCTGCCGCAAGTTCAACGGCAGCTGCCTCCAGTACCACAGTGCCAAATGCCACAAATACCGCGTCAACATCCACAGCAACTGGAACAACACAAAGATTACAACGAAGCTATCCTGATTCAGTTAGGCGGTAAGTATCAAAAATAATTTTACTCGATAATAAATGGATTACAGTGCTCCCTCGAATACGTTAATACTAAATAATGTAGCTGTTGAATTTTTTTATTTTAAATTTACTAACCTACAAAGTGAACAGAGTTCTTAAAAGAGAATGAGAGAGGAGTGCTCTGTGTCCATTCGAGTGAGCACTGTAATATTATCATTATTTATTTATTTATTAATTATAGTTTCATATATTTTTTATATAAATACATATAAAAATATGTATATGTAATAATTAATGTACCGCAATATAAACGTACTATAATAATTAATTGTTTATTGACCAATTTTATTAATAGGTTTTTTTGATTTTCATCAGACTTAGGTCCTTTATTCAGTACATAAAAATTTTAAAAAAATTTCACTTATTAATTAATTAATTTTTAATTATACTTTTAAAAAATATTATAGAAGTGATAAACAATAATCTAGTCAAGGCGCAAAGAGGGGTTTTGAAGAAACCTCGCAGTTAATAGAGAGTAAAAGTGGTCAGGTGCACTGGCTCAACTAGTCTCAACATAATAATATTTATTTCATTAAAATTATATATTTTTAAAAAATATAACAAAAAAATGTTAACAAAAATTAATAAATTTAATTTTTTTATCATTTATATGTGTTAAATAAATGATCTAAACCTAGTAAGAGTCAAAAACTTGTAAAAATATGGTATACATAAATACTGTTATAGATATTTATTTTTTTATTTGTTAAAAAATAATTGTAATAATTTTTATTATAAAATTTATATTTATAATATATTTATTTATTAATGAAGTGAAATAGAAAATACGCAGTAAATTATTTCTTCTTAAAAGAATTAATTGCCTTAAACTGCCGCCGAAAACTGTAGCGATTGTGGTTATAAATTTTTTCTGTTTATCTCACCACTAAATATAATATTGCAATAATTTATGAAAAATATTTTTTATATATATTTTTTTTTTTCAACTTCTAAATGTGCTCTTAATTAAAGAAATATTATTAATGTAATTAAAATTCAGATAAGCGAATACTTTTGCTTCATAGTAAACTGCCTCCTAAAATACGCGCGCTCGACAGTGTTAACATAAATTGCCGTTTAATTAATATCTTATAAGAATATTGCATTTATATCAAGTAAATAAAAATAAAACAAAAAAAATTAAGTAAAATAAAATTGATACTTTATTGAGGAATGAATTTTATGTATATTGCAGTTCACGTTTAACATCCACTGGCGAAGATGAACGCGAATATCAGAGCGAACACGAAACCAGCTGGGATGAGTTCGAGGATCGATATTTAAACTTCACCGCAGGACGTGAACGTCTACAGGAATTCAATGGACGAATACCACCGCGCAAGAAGAAAAAGGAGGTTCAGAAAGCAAAGCCAGAAAAGAAGGTGAGTTTCATTTTTTCATAGAGAGAAAATCTATAGTAAATAGATTTTTCTATAAATGGTTTAATCCTTTAAAAAAAATACTAACATCAATTACTATAATTAGTGTCCTATAAAGAGGTGTTTTATTTTTACTATTTTTGAGTTGTTAATAACAACTCATAAATTAAATAATTAACTAAATAGTTATGTATTTTTAAATAAAAACAGAAATTTTATTCTATTTTTATCTATTTTATTAAAATAGAATAGTACAAAATAGTAAATCTCATAGTCATAACACATCTTATGACATTATGAGATTCTATCTACTAAATCTCGCATTTACGCTATATTCGAGGTTTTTATTGTTGGTTTGGTGCAAAATTAAACGAACCCATAAAATTTGTCATTTAATTTTATTTTTATAAATTTTAAGCTGCGTTTTAGATACTTTTTTGCCTTGCACAATCGTACAAGCCAAGAATTACGTTTCAAGTTTGCTCATTTTTATTGTACAATTTTAAACTAAAAAATATATGATAATAATAAAATTGAAATCAAAACTTAATGAATCCACAATTAAAATCCTTTGTTTGTAAACCTAAAGTCTGCGCCAACCTCGAACTATTATCAACGAACGGTTGAAATATTTAAAGAAAAGATACAACATCAGCGGTTAAAATTTTTATTGCGTGTCTGTTGCTCTGTTGCTCTGTTGCTGTTGCCGTTGCTCTGTTGCTGTTGTTGTTGCTCTGTTCCTGTTGTTGCTGCTGTTGAAAAGTTGAAGATAAGTGACACATGTGTGCACTTCTAGAAAACTTAATGAAATCGAAACTCACCAGTAATAGCAACTTGGACGGAAGGTCGTACAACTGACGACCGAAGAACGGACACTTGACGCCTTAATGTGTTGCTGTCGTCGCCGTCACCGCCGCAATTTTATTAGCAACACTGCGCAATTAATTTTTATAGCTAATTTGCATTTTTATATATCCATATATATACATATATACACTTATTTTTATAATTATAAATGTTTATATATTTTTATATATTTATCAGTATTTTAAATTTATTTAATTTTACTTTTTATCAACGCTTTTTAGTTATAATATATGAACCAACCTAACAACTAATCTGTTAAATACTGCTCAGTATATATTGTATGTTATTAAATTAACAGTAGTCAAGTATTTAAACTCTAAAACTGATTTGTATTAGAGACTTAATAAACATAACAACATAATCTGTATATAACATAATCTCTAACATTAGAAACAATTAATTAACAGATTTTTTAATTATATGCAATCTTAGAAAAATTAAAGCTCTTTACTCTCGGCAAAAGTGAAAATGAATTTTAAGTTACTTGACTTATGAGCTAATAGACTAATAGAGCAATATTGCTCTATTAGCAGTATGCTTCTGTATTAGAACTATGATTCATAACCTAGATCTCAGTTAAAATGAGACCTTAACTCAGACCTTGCGTAGGGTTAACTTTAATCCAGACCTTGTGTAGGGTTAAAGTCCGACTAAACTCTGCTCTAAAAACACATTTTCAAAAATACATGATAGCTCTGATATTGATATTTAAAGCTTTAAGGACCTCTTAAAATCACAAAATTGTCTAATATTAAATCTTCATTGAAGTTTAACTCTATCTGGTGTCGTTAGGGACCAATATGCTTATGCATAGCTTACAGTCAGCCAGGTAAATCTAATTAATTTACTGTTGTTGTTGTTGCTGCTGTTAATGTTGTTGTAATACAGACAAGCAACATTCTTACTGAGTCCCTGATAATATGAGTAAATAGCTTGTAGCTAGTCAATTTAACATACCTTAACTTGCTATTGTTGTTGTTGAAATCAAGACAGGTGTTTTTTTTGTTTTGAACTCTTGATAGGAGAGATAGGTGGCCCTTGACTATAGATCATAAACCGCTTCTGGAAGGTATAACTCATTATTAGCATCTTTTTATAAAAGATTGAATAAGTCGACTATCGACATCTGACTATAGGATTGTTTTTTTATTTATAGTTATACTGGGTTATCCATTTTGTGTTTCTGTTAATATAATATATTAATAGTATTAATAATAATATGTTTATATTATTATTATTATTATTAATATAAAACACACTTCTGCTTGAGTTTTAGCACAAATTTTCAAATCAATTTATTTTTTGAATCTTGTGATTGAAGTGGAATACGGCATCATTCGATTGTCTTTGATGGCACTTTTTACAGTACTAAATTCTTTTAAAGGTAATTTTCGTTAACTTAATGACACATAGACGGCATTAAAGTCGCCATAACGGTACAAATGTAGGATTGTCTGTATAAATAAGATCATTTGCGTAACCCCACCAAAAAAAAAGTCAATTGGTGATAAATTAGGATATTGATGACTAATTCACGTCACCAATAAAATGTGAGTCTAGAGATGAAAAATTATAGGCTATTGGTGGTGATATATTTTCGCCGCCGGAATGTGAAAATAAACATTTGGAAACTTATTTGCTAAACAATGCGGAAATGGGATGTCCACTGTTGCTTGTAGCACCATCCTTTTAGAACCACATACTTTCCATATCTATATCCTTATACGCCAAAACCGAATTTGGTAATTATATTGCTGTAACGTTTAGAATTGACGGTTAGTAAAACATCTTCGTACTGGCCGGGCCTATCGTAGACCAAATACGAAACCATATAGTCAATTTTTGTGAATATAATGCTCTTTCAATAGTTACTTGTGGATTTTCGTTACTCCAGATGGGACAATTTTACGAAAATAAAACTCAATACTGTTATTCGATGCAAAACATTATCATCCAAATACTACCAAATACTATAATACTTTTGGTCCACTCAGAAAAATATGCTCTAATTATTAGTTAAATTGATATTAGTTAAATTGACCTGATCATTTTGTTAGAGAAGTTCATATCTTCTAAAGTGTAGTATATTTGAACCAACGTGATATGTAGAATAAGAATATTTTGAACTGAGATTTAGTTAAAATCTGGTTAAATCAATTAAATTATATTTCTGTGTGTCCATATACTCTATACACTGTTTTTTTCATATGTCTTGTATGACAATTCTATTCGATATATGTCAATGGAATTGAAATTATTAATATTTTTATGTTATCTTATATTATTTTTTCAAGGTCCCTTTTATATATAGTAATATTATTAGTAATTAATTTTTTGCTTTGTAGTTTATTTCAATACGACTAATTTACTTTGTAAACAAAACATCACATTTCATATAGAAATTCATATTTTTCTGTTGTGTCTGCTGTGGGAGTTGATATATTACTTCTTATATTTTTATCACTTGTTATATGTCAAGTACTCATTATTCATAAGAAAACATATCTTAACGTTTTTATTTTATGTCATATGCATTTGTATCTTTTTCCGATTAATTTCTTTATTATAACAAGTAGTTTTCTTACACGATATTTTCGTTTCGTTTTTTTTTTTCGCCCAGAAAACAGACACAATACGCCTATGGCTTTGTTATGAGTTCCTCTTACTCATAAAGTGAGTTAATGACCTCCCGGACGAATGGCTTTATTCGCACTACTCGCATTTATGCGTTAAATTGTAGAAGCCATAAAATTTATTGCGAAATTATTAATTTTTACGGCTTGTTTAAAAATTCAGATTATTTTTTATTAGTTTTAAAAAAATTTATAGGTTTTAAATTTTTTTCATTCAAATTTAATAGCATTTTTATGATTATTGAATAACAACAATTGACACTATAAATCAACATTTGTGTTGCAATAGTTGAGTGGTCAATGATTTCATATGAAACTGTTTGTTTTTACATATATAATTTAATATATTTTTATTAAATAAGAACTATTAACTTTTTAAAATTATTTTAACTCTTTAAATGGAATTTCATAACTTTAAAAACTCTCCTAAAGTGATTGATGGAATATAGGAAATGTTTAATATTATTTTTTCTAATTACATATGTCACTACGCTAATTCATCCTTCTCTTAATGGTACTAAATTTACTCATTGTAACGAATTATATTTGTTAAATATTGATTTGTTATTAATTAAATTTATTTTATACTAAAATTCTTTCAATTACTTGTTGCCATTTCCTTTAAGGTTTAAATAAAAATAAAAAAAAATTTTTTTTCTAATATAATATTATGCCATTACTAAAACATTTATTGCTTTCTTATCTTAAACCCTGCGTCATGTACTTCCCCTCCGAACATCATATCCTTCTAACAATATTTTAACTACTTAACGTTATTTACAACATAACCTCAATCTGAAAGGTTAAAAATTCTATGAAAAGTGGCATAAAAATCTCTATCAAAGCATCTGTTCAATAAAACTCAAATATTTATTCAATTTAATCTACTTAAAAACATAATTTTTAGATTTAATAATCCTCAAACAAAATAAAAATCATTTAAAAAAAAACAACAAAAAATTGCTAAAAGCATCGCAATGAAAAAAAAAACACTCTGAACGCACCATAATTTTTTTCTATTAAATTAATAAACAAAATATTGTATAAAAACTAAACGCATCTGAACATTAAACAAAGCCATCAACCCCCTTAACCTGCACTTGTATTCAAACAACACAAAAATATTATTATCAATATGTAGCAAAAAAAAGAACAAAAAAAAACAATTTAAAAATAATAACCTAAATAAATATTCCCCTTGAGAACACACAGATAGATACAAACATAATTGTGTGCCATTCTAACGACCCATTATCCTTAGACCCACTAACAATCGCACTTATAAATCCTTAAATGCTATAGTAATGCATTATGTTCACTTTATATGTGTATGTGTGTAGACTTTGTTGTTGTTGTAGGCTATCAATTGACAATTATCGATGAAACTAATATCACCTTTGTGTGCTCTAAACTGTTACCATTGAACTATTAAACTTGTACACAGGAACCCCTCAGAGAGTATTATCCCCAATTTAGTATCTATTTTTTTTTTTTTTTGTTTTCACTTCGCTTTTATTATCTTGATATGAATTATTGCACTTTTTTTTTTTGTTTTGTTGATTGGAATATATATTATTTTGTTTATGCTATTGTAATGCATAAGCAAGTAAATCTAATCACCCACCCTTGACCATAACACCCACCCATCCCTTAACTATGAAATTCATACTTGTTAACTACTCATAAAGAAATTATGTTCTATATTGTGTTCTGTTATTTATGCTGTTGAGCTATAGTTGGTTGTTTAAGTTACAGACATGCAAATTGTTTATAATAACAAAATAACAATAACAGGGATGAAGTATAACATGAATTCACTTATTGATACGGTTTAAAAAAAAATATATATAAATATTTATATTTGATTTTTAAAGTACTCTAGTAGTAATACATGAAAATAGTGCTAGATCGAGTTCTGATATTTCGAACAAGGTTTAAATAAATTGAAATGCTTGAGCTATTCAAAAATTATGGCCGCAAATTCAGCTAAAGAGATAAAGGCTTGAGCGTTATATGATGTTCCTAGTGCTACTTACAGTGATACAATATTAATTTTTCTATACAGCCGTGGCAGTTGTTCTATTTGTTCGATTAAGACCAAAAAACGCTGGGCTTATTCTCTCTTTGTAGATATATATTTTTGTAGATATATATACATTAGTTCTCCCTCAGTTCGAGAATAACGGTACTATAACAGTCGATCAGTTGCGTACTTATTTAGTTTGTGAGTCTCGTAGATGGCATCTATTGTCAACAACAGTCGTAGTACCATTAGACTATATTACGACTTATTTCATTAATGGGTCTTTGTTTATTCGGTTTCTTGAAACGTTACTGATTGACTTCGGATTCGCTTTATTAGTACTGCGGCAGTTCCAGGATAACGGTACGACACTCGATGAAATCCATGAGTTGCGTACTTCTTGAGTGTTTACTGCGTCTATCGTCAACAACAGACGTCGTGTCATTAGATTCTATAGCAACTTATTTGATTAATGTTAATCCGTTTATTCGTGTTCTTGAAACATTACTGACTTCTTCCTCTTTTTCCCGCCTCTAATAGCTGTGATTTGGTGTTTAGGTCTGTTATTTAAATGTGTAGCACCTATATAATTCGTATAGGCCCACATACTTTCACATTAGAATAAAATATCGTGTTATATTTTAGGAAAATTGCAACAAAGCCTGAGCGCAATTATTTTAATAGACTTGCCATAGTTTCCTGTTTCCTATGTGGCGGCGCAACAGGAAACACACTTGTTTTTACTAAACAAGTCCAACGTTACATATTTTTTCCAACTCCTGGTCTGGTAACCTTTTAAATGCATAAATAAAAAATTTATGTAGTTACACTTGAATTGCTTAAATAACTCGATAAAAACATGCTAATGTCTACCCTCGTACATTCAATTGACCACAGTACACTGGTCAACAAATTATTTGCCCATTTTTTTTTCTTCTGACCTTTATTTTATACACATTATAGGGATATACCATATAGCTATATATCACTTCTGTCAATTTTTTTTGTGCTTGATTGAACAAATGTTCAATAAAATCATATTTTCTGCTATAAATAAAGCGAATTCATGCAAATTTAACTTTATTTAATTTTATTTATCATTTATATGCATTTTTGTTATATTAAAATAAATTATTCAGATTTAATTGTTTGTAGAAATTTAATTTTTTTAACACTTGTTTACATTTTTGTAAAAATTCAATCTGTAAAAAAAATTTTTATTTGGTTTCTAATATTTTAATTTAATATTTTTAATTTATTTTTTAATTTTAATTTTTTATTAAATATTTTTATCAAATTTTTATTTAATTTTTTCTTTGTCTATTACAACTATACTGTTTCTTTTTTTTGTTATTTTTTTCAGACGAGCTTCACCGGCCCACAGTAGTCACATTTTTGTATTTGCCATGGGTGTGATTTTTAGTAGCCGATGAGTTAGTTGAGCAAGAAGAAGGGACACTATTAAATATGAATAAATTGTTTTAAATGGGATGTTAGAAAACAATCAATCTGAAGAGGAATTGGATTACTTATATTAAATATGGAAAATGTTATAGTCAAATAATCCTCTCAAATATGTAAATACCGAAACGTCACAAAGGCGAAGGATCTTATAGCAAATTAAGCAAATTTACAATAAATGTTAGTGAAACATAAAATAAAAAAAAAATAAAAAAAAAGAAGAAGAGCTTCAATTGGACGAAGAAAAATTATTGGACAAGATATAAAAAAACAACAGTTTACAAAAATTATATATAAAAAAAAAATATTATATATATTTTTATATAATATTTTTATACTTAATTGCAATAATAAAATAAAAATATTAGACTGGCAGCAAAAAAACATATGCATAAATATAAACATTAATATTAATATAAAATAGGAAACATTATTAATCCTTTTTATATATATTTATATATATATATAATTGTGAAAATTAAATATTTTTGGAAATTTAACTAAATTTATTAGTATAATCTTAAAGCTTTATTAACAAAACTAACGAATTTTTTTTCGAAATAATTGCTCTTTATA